ACGCTTGCAATGATCAACTTCAGGTTGGAATTCCTGCTTTGGGATCCATCCAGCACACAGAAGCGGTACTATTCTCCAGTATCCTTGCCATTGAGTTTGAAATGGCTGAACTCAGAGACCACTGACTCATCATGGGATCCTTGGCTTGTTGTTTTTCAATGTTTTTCCATATGCTTCAAAGTCTTTCATATGTTGTCAATTGATCTCAATAGGTGAGCCTGGGAAGGTAATGTTCATTTTATAAACCTATTCTTTTGAGTAGATTGCAGCAATGAAAACCTGGAACTATTTATAAAATGCTTTTATATAACCAGTTCTTAGCTGCCTTTACTACAATATTTGCAATTTGTTCATTTTATAAAACATAAATGACTTGTATTTGGATGTGTTTGGATAACTTGTTGTCCCACTATTGGGAAGTGCTGAACTGATATGGCATCTAAACCTGACACACCTCTCCGTGGGAATCGTCGTGCCTAGCCTAGGAGGTTCTTCGGATGCTAGATGCTGTCTTGGCGCATGGAAAGGACTATGTGAGGCTCATTGTGTGCGACGGCCAGGGATGCCATGGCCTGTTGAGAAATGCTATTTGGGGAAATTTGGATCCAGCCTTCCGCCGGAAGATCATGGACACATCTTGGTTTTCCCTTTTGCGCCATAAAGAGCTTCCTGGGCTGGAGGATATTCCCAACTTTCCTTTCAAACTATGCATGTTGGGTGACAACCCAGTGTACTGCTTGGCTGGTCCAGCTCACGCAGCAAAAAACGCTGCAGGTCAAGCATTGTCACCGGCCAAAGTCTTATACTATGGTGTTCACTTCTGTGATCCTGCTGCAACACTTCAGAATTCCATGCCGGTGCCTGCATACTGTCGAAAAGACCCTATGTCTGACAGATTGTGCTCCCTTCTCAGCAGTCCATGGTTCTTGATTTCTCAGGATGACATTGCTGATTTGAATGAGGTTCACATTCCATGGCACTTGCGTGGGTTTTTGCTCTGGGGTGTAACAACTGCGCTTTGTGTGGTGGCTTGGCAACATAAGGTGAAATCTGTTTGGCTGGAGCAGCGTTTATAAAATGCATTTGCTACATAAAACGAAGGCTGGAGTCTGGAGACTCATTTTATAAACAACTGTTTTTGTCATGCGTTGTGAAATGAGTCACAATATGTAGCCTTTGTAGCTGTTGCAGGGTTTATAAAACACTTTTTGTCCCAACCCAACATTGTTACACGAAGACTTCATAGTGAAAGCGCATTTCATAAACGTTACATTATAGTATCATTATAGATTTTTACAAGGAGTACTGTTATATAACAACAAAAACCTCAGCCTTTCATTCAATCCAAGAAGCCCAGGCTCCTGCAGTTCATGCGCGCATGAAGCTGAAGACGCGATGCGAAGTGGCCCTGACGGGTTTGATCACGCAGGATCTTTTTGCCCTTGTTGCAGCGCAGAAGGAAACGCAGGCCAAGGTGTCTCGAGGCAAGTTCTCGATGGCCCCGCAAACACGGAGAAACCTCCAGGCAGTGGCTGCCACAACAGTTCTGATGTGTGCATCAAAACCATCAGACTGGCAGTGTTGGCGCAGTGCACATTCATTGTCTGAAATCGCCATTGAACATCATTTTGGCAGATTGCGCTCACAGTTTGCCAGTGGCGAGATGAATGCCAGAAGCTTTTTCAATGCTTCAGCCAGATTGATGAGGCAGCTGCAAAACGACAAGACCAGCAAAGTGCATGCTGCTGGTGAGGATCATCCACTTGACACGGCTGCGTTTCTTAGGTTTGACATTATTTCATAGATCGACAAGATTTACGTTTTAATACGTTTGACTGTTTCTTTTGTTGATTTATATATGTATACAGTATTTTCATGTATGTTATTTTTCATGCCAGGGCTGAGGGTTGCTTTTTACACGTTTGACTGAATAAGGCTCCGATCGTGCGCAAAGCGGGCTTTGGAATCATCATTGCTGCTGGTGTCCAAGTGCAGCAACATCCCAGTGAAATCCCTCGAGCAGCAATACAAGTTAGAGACTCACTGTGGCTTCTTTGGCGAGGACGATGCGGAAGGAGAGGATTTGCTGGAGAATAGCTTGTTGGCTGAAGAGGAGGAAGCCATGAAGGACCAGAATGACATGAAGAACGTTCTGATGCAGATTGGTGAAATGGCAAGTGAAGAGCATTGTCCCTCGGAAGATGTGAAGGAGGCAGTTGATCCAGATGCTGCGATGCCAGACGGTCAAGATATCATTGATCTCACGGACGGAGTGGGAGATGAAGAGACAGCTGAGATTGAAAGGAAAGATTTGCCCACTACCTTGGCAGATGGCTTGGCAAAACGTTCCATGTGGGCAGGCCTTTTTCAGCTCTCAGTGTTCTTGCGATGTGGAACAGATGGCATGGACTCCATCTTTCTCAAGAAGGGGGAAATCATACGAAAACGGGCCAGAAAGCTCAACTGGCATCAGTTTCTTGGCTTTTTTCATATTGAAGAACAGATTTATAGAATTGCTTTCCCAATGAAACAAGTACAATTCTGTTGAATCTGGAGGGTGAAACCACATTTTATAAACACATGCTACTCTCTCATGTTTTCATAAGCCTGCTGCAGGATTTATAAAATGAGTTTGCCATAGCTCAACATGGTGTTGCTGAGACTTCAGGGTGGCAACACATTTCATATATATATATATAATATTTATTAGCAAATTAATTTGCATAAGTATTTGACAATATTTGACAATGTTGCCTGAGCGTGTCATGCCAAGGTCAATAGAAAGCCAGATGAAGTTGATTCGAGAGGAGGAGGGAGAGATGCTTGCAGGTCAGCGTGGCAGCCGCCTTTCCAAATGGATCCAAAGCACTCAGAAGATCAGAGACAAGGCTGGTTTACCTGCACCAGAGTCACTGGTGACGCTTGGGTGAAGCAATCAAAGTATACTTTCCATGGTGGAATATTCTAGGGATATTATCAATAATATATTATTTCATGTTATTTATCAGTTGGTCACTGAACCTTTCTTTATAGAATGGGTTTGGGAGAGTGTTCCCCTGTGTGTTTTTATGTTGTGGCGTTCTAAAGGCATTTTATAAATACAACTCACTGGTTCACCATAATCCCGATACCCTACATCTTGTTTATAAAATGCAGTTTTGGACTACTCCTGGTCTTTGAATGGTAGAAATAGTACTAAAAATACATTTTATAAAGGCCATAATATCCAAAGTTGCCTTTGCTTTGCAAAGAAGCAACCTTCACTGTCCTTTGCAGCGAGGATTGGAAGCGTCGTGGTGTTGCAAGTGGGTGGAAGAGCAGCGGCTGCCGTAGTCCACACACTGTGGCCCAATGCCAAGAAGCCCAAGCCTTGCTGCCAAAGGTTGCCTTTGGAGAGGATCAAAGTCTTCAGAGCCACCTTGCTCCTGGAAAGCACAGCCGACCAATGCATGTATCCGTCAGAGGACACTTTCGTGTACAAGCCAGAATGCATTCTGGCGATTCTTGATGTTTCAGAGGCAAACATGAATCATGGCAAGATTTTACTCACGCCTACCTCCATGACAGCAATGGCAGAGTTGACCAGTCAGTTTCAGGCAGGGCCTGAAAACGGTGATTTGGGTCAAGAGTGTCCAGACACCCAGGACAAGCAAGCCGAGCCCCAAAAGCAGGCCCGAAAATCGTCGAGATCTTTCAAGGCCGTTGCCAGCCGCTTCAAGAAAGCAGCCAATACCCGAAATGCACGAAATCCTGACAATAAAGAAGATGAACTTGTCATCACAGCAGAGAGTTTCAGGAGGTCAGAAAAGGGAAGACTGGCCATCAAAAGAGTCTTGACCAAGGCTGCTGAGATTGATGGGCTCAAGTTCCCGAATTCGCCCAGCTTTGACCCCATCTCTCAGAAGTGCAGCGCAAAGATTTGCAAGAACATTGGTGACTACACATTCAAAGAATTCATATCAGAGGCACCTTTGCTTTTTCAATACAAGCATTTCAAAGTGAGGAATCCCATCCACTATGGGAACAAGGTGAACGAGGAGCTCAGGCAGATTCTATCCGAATTACGAGGTGATCCTCCTTCACGAAGGGCGTTTCAGAGATTGATTGCGGAAGTGCGGCAAGCTCAGGTAGCCGGATCCATTCGTCTTTGAATGCCTTCACGAGAGGTGTCTCAGTTTCAGAAGTGTGGCAAGCGAAGCGAGCCGGGAGCATTCATTTGTGAATGCTGAGACAGCGCTCAACTTCGGGGGCAAGAGAAAAAAGAAAGCTGACTGTCTGTGCTTGATTTGCAGCGTTGAGCACAGGTTGGCTAAGGCATTTTATAAAGACATTGTTTTGTTTGTGTTTGTCAGCCCCATTGCACATCAGGACATTATTTAAAAATGTGTCAATCAATCAGATTTTGGTGTGCATCTCCATGTTCATTGCACAAGGATGGATGTGAAGACGTGGTCATTTTATAAATAAAGGTACGTTTTGCATTCTATAGACGTTTTTTGGTAGATATTTCATTGTATAGATACATTATTTTTATAAAATAAAAGTTAGCTGGCCCAGCAGTCATTGTAGGGGGATCATTATATATATAGGTCATTATGGTCATTGTAGGTCTTAGGTCAGTAGTCCATTGTCAGACCTGAAGAGATTTGCTCACCTTTTATGCGAGCTCTTGGCTATCCTGGCGGATTCAGAACAAGTAAATATGTCCTGGGTGTTTAATATGTATCTCCAGACCAGCGAATGTCAGATTGACCACATCTCATAGAATTAGTCAAATTAAGCAACTGACACACCTGCCAAGGTAAGTGGACATTTGCGTGTGTTAGCGCCTGTTCTTCTTTGGCCTTTAACAGATACCAGGGGCAGTGACAAATTTTTGTTGTGTTGCTGAATGAATGAGTTGGTTTCTCCAAAGCCCTCTCGTACATGATGCTAAATGAGCATTTGGAGTGCCTCCATTCTTCATCCAACCAACCATGTGACCATGTGATCAAACTGAGGCTCCTTCGGCGCTGTGGAGCTGTGCGACGCCCAGATGGAGTCACCGGGCCTCGACCTCCGTCATTTTGTCAGAAAACTTGGGCCTGGACAGGAGGTGGGAGCGGCCTTCAAAACGATCCTTTTGATTTGTTGGAAATTCCCTCATGGATGGAATCCTGATTGAGCATTTGTTTTGATATTTGCCATGCAGTTGAGGAGTATAGGGTGATGAACAGTTCCTCTTATTAATATTTGTGGATCCACGGTGAACGAAGCTCATTTGCAGTTTGGGTGCAGATATGTCCATCAACACTACACTTGCCAATTAATGTGTTTATACCTGTTTGTCCCTAATTGAGTCCCCCTACGTAGATCTCGGTTGCTTTATTTGTCGCACCTAGATTTCAATTGACCCTCAAAAGTAATTGTTTCTTCGCTCTGTTCTCGGTAGCACGCCCTGTTCTCGGTGACTGCACCTTCCATCCGACACCATCCGTGCGCCGGCTCGAATGGTCGCCGTCTCCGTGTTCACCAGGTGGTCCGAGGCGAAGAGTCAGCACTGTTGCCAGATGGAAGGACGGCGACCAGACTCGCCCTCGCGCCCACATGGGCCGTTGGCAGGTCAGTGCCCAGGAAGCTGTCCAAGAGGTCACAAGTACAGTAATGAAGCAACCACTGGTTCAAATATGTATTTAAGGAAAGTAATCCTACCAGAACCATGCAAGAGGTCACCAATGAACGGCACGTGACGAAAAAGGGTCCTTGAATTGACTGGTAACACATGGTAACACCTCTTGGTCTGGTATTTGGTAATTCCTGACATCACTTTTGCTGAGATACTCACGACCCACGACCTTGAAGGCGGCACCCCTCCACAACCGGTCCAGGACGTGGCTGTTTGAAGAGGTGCTGTGGCCGGGCGGTTTGCCGGATGATACGATGGCTCAAGATGACGTGCGGACACACACCTCAAAGCTAAGTGCAGCGAGCCTTTAGGACATGTTCAATGTACACAAATAGAGATGCAACCTCTTGTAGTCCCATGTTGGTGCATGGTTTTGTGTAGTAGAGAGCAGAGAGCTTCCTGTAGAGGCCATCCTTCAATGTTGAGGTATATTCATGCATGCACTGCATCCACGCCAATTAAATCATCGTTTTCCCATGCGATCATGGGCCAGGTCGGCTGGCCTTTTCGACTGCCTTCAAGACGATCCAGAGGCCGTTTAAGGGTGACTGGCACAGCGCGGCAACTTTTTGAATGGAAGTGAACCAATAATTAGTGGTCCAGGACTTGCATGCTGCTTTCTACTTGCTTTCGTCCCCCCTTCTCAGGTTCAAAAGAATCTGCCCACCAAGGAATCCCACTGGGATTGCAGGACGTCGTTGGAGTAACCAAGCCCATACCCGAAGCGATCAGTGTTTAGCGAGCTGAAGAGGGCTCTTCCTTTGAGGATTTGGTAGAGGGATGCTCTCCCAAAAAATCATTTTGCATGCCCCGGTCTCAAGTCCACATCCATACCCTTTGAGAAGGTGGTAGAGGAGATCCAGATGTATTCAGATGGGGAGTTTGGAGTGTCCTTCTCCTTTTTCAGCAGAGATCCAAAGAGATGACCGGAGCCACATAGGGGAAACACATACCTTTCAGACCACAAAGTGCTACACCGTCGACCTAAAAGACCGGATCTAGCAGTGATACTCATGGAACCACCAATGATCCAATGGATGAAGACATGTTTTAACAGTGAAACACTCTTTTGTTGGAGAAACATCCATTAGGTCACCCGTCCAGGTCTCCAAGAACCTCTTGGCCGCCCCCTCCGTTTCGGTTCGGTGGTTGGGGTGGGTTTGGTGGGTTTAACTAACTATGTTTAACTACCTTCTGAGGATGTGGTTGGAGGTGTAGGGTCACTCTTCAGTAGGTCACCCCCCCATCGCCACTCTCGGGTGTTTGGTCGGACAACTCGCCTTCAAAAGCTCGGGGAGTGACATTGGTGAAGCTCGGGAGTACATGCCTAGGAGGGTTGACAGTGGATGAATTTGATTGAATCTGATGACCAAATTCCGATATGGGACAGGAATATATGCCGGCCCATTGACCCCTCTCCAGCCACCGAAAAGTAAAGATGGAGTGTCAGAGATTGAATAACATTGCGCGGACTTTGGGCCTCAATAAGCAAGTGAGCCCCTCGCTGCAAGAATCCAAAGGTTCTAATTGTAGAAGGTTTTGGATACCAGGACTCTACATGATTTCGGTGCTTTTGGCAACCCTAATTATGGATCTTCTCGCAGTCCATCATGGGTCCGTGCTCCTTCTGTGCCACTTGATGTTTGGAAATTGCTGAAATCGCTCCAGGCATGGACCTTCAAGCAACGGGCCAGCACACCCAGTGGAGAGATGTTCGGGGTGTAAGGCTGTGATGCGAGAGAACTGCAATGTACTATATGCCGCCCCATGGACTCCCTTAAAAAAGAGGCACTCAGAAATACCCCCAAAGATGCAATTCCCATGGGTCGTTTTTGCATGTATGATGCATCTTTCAATGGACCCCAAGAGTCTCAGCCGGGGGTGCCGCTTGGCCGGGTAAACCGGTCGACGCCATCACAGCAGTTGACGCTCTCAGCTTGCCAGACACCTTAGTTTTCCGACAAGATGATGAACATGGGAAAGACTTTGATAACATTTGTTAACAAATTGTAAGAACATGTGTACAACAGGTTCGGATTCAGGCTCTCAAACCCATGGTGGGTGACCCGAAGCCATGGCCGGGGACATGTTCCTTTCTGTCCGCTTGAGCTGGCCTTTACGGGTGACTTCTGGAAGCATATTCCGGAAAACATGTGCACAGCTTTTTGCCTCGTGTGCCTTAAAGGGTGAAGAAGGTTCTGTTACTCAAAGTTTATAAGGCCGCCCTGGGCGGTCTGAGACACTCAATTTGCGACTTGACTCAAAGCAGAGATTGGTCGACTGAGTCCTTTCCGACTTCACACGACGAAGGGGTTCCAGTGTCCAGACCGGGTCAGCTACAGAGGGGTTGCCGGTCAGGTTGTTTGGACCGCAGTCATTGAGTCCTCTCTGAGATGAACTCGTAAAATGATACTGTAGCCCACGGACCATTAACAATGTGTTGACTTGGATTTCAGGATATTGTGAGGTTGTCTGAGTTCTCCGCGATGTTTTTGGTTTGTATAGTGGGGGTAGCACCACATGGGCAGTTTCTCGCGCTTGGTGCCTCGGTGCCTCAGGACTATTGCTGCGCACATTCTGGCCGCGGGTGCCACAGGATGCCATCCAAACGATCTTGCTGTCATTGCCCTACCAAGGAAGTACGTGGATCAGCATGGATGATCTGAAAAACCTTATTTGTTCTACTTGTGTTTCTACTTTTTTTGGGGGGATCCCTTTTGGTTTCTGGTCAGTTTTCTGACATCTTCTGGCACCTACGAAGTACGTGGATCACCTGGAGGTCACCTTTGGGATTGGTGAAACCCCACTAAACAAGAACGAATGGAACAAGGTTAACGACTGTATTTTCCAGACAAACTGATGGAGTCAGTAACCACGTGTTGGTCGGAGCAGTCATTGTGACTGAGTTGAATGGACGATCGTGACGATGCTTGATGGTCCGTTTGTTGACTGTATAGATTATAGATTCACAAAATCATAAGAAACCTGTATATAGCCAGATGTTTACCGCTTTGTGTATGTGTGATGTGTACTAGACTGTCCCTCATGGCAAAGCTGTGCTGCAATGGGTTGACACATATGTCACATGCGTTCACTCTCCTTCTTGTTACTGAGTTGCCATGAGTTGCCTATCACTGCCGATCTCATCCCCACTCCATGGAACTGGAAAAACATGCCCAAAACACTCCAACCACCCCAAACATGTGGATAAATATGGCTTCCCTGGAGTGTTTGAGATTTGGTGTGGAGGCCATCGCTCTTAGTAACAAGGGCATCGTGGCATCGTTCGTGAGGCCAGAACGCTACGAACGTAGCAAGAACGCCTTACTAGTAGGCTATCTCCACAGATTCCTGGAGCATTTGATCCTTCCGAGTCTCCTGGGTCCCGTCCCTCTCACGCTCTCGCAGGACGCACGAGTCAGAAGCCCAGAGGAGAGACGCGGTGAGTGGTGACTGCAGGTCCTCGGTCCCTTCACGTTGACCAACCAGGTAAAGCTTCAGGCAAGGGAAGTCACAAGCAGAAGCATTCTACCATGTCCTGAGCCTACTGTACTCCACTCACTTGGATTTGATTTCAGGGAATGAAATGGAATGAACCAAAACTTTGGGATTTGGTCCACCAACCATACGTGACTGGCGATGCTGGCGTATTGTACCCAGATATGTCCAGATCCTCACCCCCTCTTCACCCACACCCCCAGGTCCCACCGTGACCCAGCTCTTCCGAACGCCCGTCCGCGGGACCGTCCGGCGTTCTGGTGATTCTCGCCCATGAAATCCCCAAGTAACTATTTGTAGCGTCCTTGCTCCTAGTAGTAAGGCCAGGAGCCCCTAATAGCGTCTTTGCTACTACTAGCTTCTTGTTCACATGCACTTTGTTCCTAGTAGCTTCTTGTTCCCAATAGTAAGGCCAGGAGCCCCTAGTAGCTTCTTGCTCCAAGTAACTTTGGTCGTACCTTGTCAAGATTGACTGCTTCGCCTCCTCCACCCACCCGTTTGCTTGGAGGCCATCGCTATTAGATGCTATTAGGTTGGAGGCCATCGCTAGTAGGTTGCAGGCCATCGCCCCAGGTCCCACCGAACCGAACGTCCGACTGCTTCGCTCCCTTCGCACCGAGGTCCTATGATTGCTTGGCAGGACTCGACACTTGGAAAGCCGGCCCAGAGCCTGAGGTCGAGGTCAATCGAAGTCGACCCGCGTATTTTTATTTTTTCGGGAAGGAAGCTGTTTGTACTTTTGGGGAGTGAGTGCTTTTTGCGTGGTACATCAATGGTACGTCTCTAAGAAGTCGGACCTATAAGAAGTGCACAGAGAGAGTTTTCAAGAGGTTGTTACACTATGTTACACTCACATGTGCTTTTTGATTTGGTGGCCAACCCAAGAAAACCCATGAGGATCAATTACATCAACCGTCATCAACCATTTATAGACATGCAGTGAGAGCGACTGATCCATTTAGATGTGCTTGATCAACATCCAGTAGGTGAGTATCAATCCAGTCCCCAACCCGGATCCGGTCATGAGGTCGACAGGGGTCCATCCGCCTTTGGGGCACTGTTGAAAAGTGTTGAACAGACATCGTTTGCGTTTATCCCATTACCACGGCCAATAGTGGACACTTATGGTCCGGTATGGTTTGGTTGCAGCCCTTTCTCAAGCATCGTGATATATCGTGATCAATTTGCTTTTCTAGGACACTCTCTACCTGCAGCCCACGCTCTCCACTTGGAACGCCTCCCCAACCTCCAACCGAACCTCCATTCTTTACGCGTGGGTGGGTCTCCCCACGCACACCTCACTCTCATCACCGAACACGTCGCTCACCGTGGGTGACGCTTGCTTCGTCACCTCGATCGGAAACGAGGTTGGAGTCTCCACAAGAAGCTTTGGTGTTGTGACAACCAGAAACTGGGTTGCGCCACAGAGTCGGTCTCCTCAGCTGGCAGAGGTTTTTGGTGCTTTTAGGGTGCGTCCTGAGCTGGAATCTGGGTGAGTCTGGGCGAGTTTCAGAGAGTTTGGGGTTCAACCTTGGGATTATTGATCCCACTGACTGTTTCAAGTGAAACCACCAAGCAGTGGAACAAGACCAGGATCGCGGAGAAAAAAGGATATGGTCAGACGGTGTCCAGATCTTTCGTGATGTTTCTCAGTGAAAAACATGGAGCATTTCTTCAAGCAAGCACCATGAAAGCCATGAAGTTCACCAGGGAGGTCCATGTTTCGCCCGGGTTTGTATGGTTGGTGTAAGAAGCGGTGTAAGACGGTGGTCATTTCTCGTGCTTTTGAGCCCGGCAAACGGTGACGTGTCGAAAGCACTAGTTTATCTCAGTGGTGTGATTGGTTTGCGATTTAGATAGGGGCTAAAATAATGTGGGGATGAAATTGTCATGTTTATCCCAAACGCCAACTCCCAGTTCTTCGCTTCCTTTGTTGTTCCAAGAGTACTTTGTTTTGGTTTACCGCTGCCACTGTTTCCTTCTCTCACTTGTCTCCTTATGTGTCTCCCCAGTTGGTTGCCTGTGTGATCGCCGTTTTTTGCCTTTGTTGCCTGGTCTCCTTCCTTGTCTCCTAATTTGTCTCCTCACTGGTCTCCCCGCCTGTCTGCCTGTCTCCTTACTTGTGCTTGTTTGTTTGCGTGATCGGCGTCTTGTTTGTCCCTGTCTCCTTGCATATCTCCCCACTTGTTTGCCTGTCTTGTCTTGTCTGCTGCTGCTGCTGCTGCCGCTTTGTCTCCTTACTTGTTCCCTCACTTATCTCCCCACTTGTTCTGTTTGATCGTCTTGTTGTTTGCTGCTGCTACCTTGACTCCTGACTTGTCTCCCTGTTTCTTTGGTTTTGTTTGGCTACTAAATGGGTTTTTGTCCCGGGTGCATTTGTCTTAGTTTGTCTTTAGAGTTAGTTGCTATCTGGGGTCTATGCCGGTGTACATGTATTTTGTTTGATCATTTGTTTTCTGGCGAGGAAGGAATTTTCGGCATTTTTCATGGTTTCAGTGTCAATGCTCTGTGTTCTGGTGGATTTCTGGATTGCCAACAGGCAATACAGCTGCCTGAATTCTGTGGAAACCTGGCCCGGCCCTCAAACACCCGCACAGATTGCAACAAGAACGCTCAGTTTTCGAGGCCTGAATAGATGGTACTAAGTACTAAGCCAGGATTTTGGATGGAGATGTTCGATTTTGTCGTTTTTGTTTTTAAGAATACGTCATACGGGTTAAACGGCTAAACTTCCTGCTAGTTTTCACTGTTCCTTGGCGCCAGCAGAGCATTTTGTTGTTCATTGCAGGGTTAATTAGAAAACTATGGCTGGGAAAATCAACATTGCAAGAAACGCACCCTTGCAGAGTAGAGTAGTATATAAGTCTTGTGCCACAGCACCGCCAACTTATGTAGCTGGTTTACTTTTAACTGGAGCTTTTGGCCGTTTGTTCTTAGGCTGGTCAATCTGTTTTGTTACAGGAGATCCAGCATGTCCAGAAAGGATTCCCTCCAATCGTTCCACCAGATACTGTTCTCCAGAACTCATTCCCTTCTTGCTTCAGCTTCCTCAAAAAGGGCAGGTACGTATGCTTCAAAGCCTCAGAAGGTGGTTGACCAAAAACATCCAAAAACCATCCCCAATGAAACTTTTCAGGTATGGACAGGGCGCGTCCCGGTGGAGCAGTAATAGTCAGTAAGAGTTTATGTTTGAGAGAGGTTATCATCGTCGTCATCACCACCACCACCATCCTCCTCCTCCTCCTCATCATCATCATCATCATCATCATCATGGTCATGGTCATCGTCATCGTCATCGTCATCATCATCATCCACTGGGCCCAATGAATGGGATGTATTGGTACGGTGCAAAACCTGGAGCCCTAGTCCAGAATGTAGCTTGACCTTACAGGTACGTCAACCTGTCCTTGTTTTGACCACATATAAATAGGTACGGTATGGACGCCAAAACCGTCGAATTGCTGACGGGCAGGGCGCCCACCAGCGCCAACGGCCCGGTTACTCAGGACCGCCGATCAACAAGTGTATTGCCGGAGCCCCAGTGGAATCCAGAGCTGAAGCAAACGATCGGAACATGCGAGCCTGTTTCATCGTGTCCTTCATCGTCTAGGGTCAAAGAGTGCGAACATGCCACTGGGGCCTATGAGTCAAATTTCTTGGGGCTCCAGTCATACCATCTTACAAGCTATTTCAACCCTCTAAATCCACCCCAGTCCCGCCTTCTCAAAAGGTGCTTGGAGCCCATTGAGAGACAAATCAACAGGATAAGCATGGAAAAGCTGTTGTTGGAGGGGAGACTGTCAGAGAACCGATGAAAAAGATCCCCCGAGGATCCCCTTGAGGGTTTGAGGCAATTATGCTGTAAGTCAACATTAACCTACATTATCCAGTATAACTAACCAACCCAAATGTAGGTCATATTTGCTTGCATGATGTATTTGGTATAGGGATGTATAGGGGTTCCTGCAAGGGTTGTTGCGTTCGTTTAGAGGGAGTGACTAGGTATGGCTGGCTGGCTGATAAGAAACTCTAGGTATCGCCTGAAGACCAAACGTTTGCTTGGTGAGCACCCTATCTTGGGTCAGAAAAACTTGTGTGCTGTGCGGCGACCCGGGGCCACTCCAACCACCGGAGTTCCGCTCGTTTGGACCAGATCACCTGAGGTTGCCAAGCACACAAGGTGGGCTGTCCTGAAGACAAAGTCGAAGTCAAGGAACCTGAGAAGACGGAGACTGCGACAGCCCCGGCACCTCCAAAAGCTGAACAGCTGGGCGGCCTGGCCTGGCAGCATGTTCACCGGTGGTTGAGACAGGTCAGGTTTGGGCGCCAAAAAGCTAAGGCAGAGGGCTGTCTTCCATGTTCCTCCACATTCTCCAACATTTCAGGAAATCTCTCACCACCAATCAGGCATGATCCAGCTTCTCGGTTGAGTCTGACCTAGGCCCTTGTTTGATTGCCGAACGGGTTGGCCAGACCATGTGCATGCCTGGGGCGACTCGAAGAAGGCGCATTTCTTCTTTGCGTGTCGAAGCACCCACGTGCGGACAGCGTCGGCTTCCGTCCGGGTCGAACAACACCTTCAAAGATGTCATGGTAACGAACGGGGGAAGGAAGTTTGAACATGATGGAATGAAGCTTTACTAAAGTACTAAAGGATACTAAAGGACCTAGATATACCCTGATGGTATTTTCGGAAGGCGCAGAGAAACTCGGGCCCTCATATGGGCGTTCTTCCCAATCTGAGGTGAAGAATCATAGGATGTCAACTCTTTTGCCTTTCTTCATGTTTTCATGTTGGCGGAGTGTGTTTTATTGAGACATACAGCGCCAATGACAGGACAAACAGGACTGTTCCGGCCAGCGTAAAAAGGAAGTCTTGCTAGGGCGCACTCAAACAAAAGCGAAGTGGCATCCACAGGCAGATTGGAGGAAGCGCCACACCGGGGAAATCTCACACGTCACCATAGCACCGTGCCAAACCTTTTGCGGGAAATTGGCTTCTGATTCTAGAGTATTACAATTCCCAAAGTGTCGATCATTGGGCTTGAGAGCTAGGATGCAAACGATAAATTGCCAAAAAAAACAATCCCGGCAAGAGACCCCAAACAGTGTGTGTGTGAGGTTTATAAGCAGAAAGTCTGGAGATCTAGACGCATTGGGGTCCAGAGAGGTGATGGTGGTGATGAAGGTGGGGATCGTGGTGACGGTGGCGGTGGTGGTGAGTGAGTGAGTGAGTGTGACTGTGAGTGTGAGTGTGAGTGAGAGTGGAGAGTCAGTGAGTGCGAGTGAGGGTGAGTGTGGGTGAGAGTGGGCGAGAGTGAGAGGGAAAGTGAGGGTGAGTGTGAGTGAGACTGGGAGAGTGAGTGAGTGGGAGAGTGACTGAGTGTGAGTGCGAGAGTGTGGGTGAGAGTGAGAGGGAGAGGGAGTGTGAGTAAGAGTGGGAGAGTGAGTGAGTGAGAGTGGGTGTGAGTGAGTGAGTGAGTGAGTGAGTGAGTGAGTATGAGCAGGAGTGTGAGTGTGAGAGTGAGTGTGAGAGTGAGAGTGAGAGTGAGAGTGAGTGAGCGAGAGAGAGTGAGCATCTGAGAGTACAAAGTGCTACGCCTGCGAACTTCGAGGTTCACAAGGTACTGCGCCTGCCACGAAATCTGCACTTTGAGGTTCACCAAGTGCTGTGCCTGCCACGAAATCTGCACTTCGAGCTTCGAGGTTCACAAAGTGCTGTGCCTGCCACGAAATCTGCAGCTGCGCCTGCGACGAAATCTGGACTTACAGGTTCACAAAGTGCTGCGCCTGCCACGAAATCTGGACTTCCAGGTTCACAATGTGCTGCGCCTGCCACGAAATCTGCACTTCAAGTTCACAAAGTGCTGCACCTGCCACGAAATCTGCAAACGAGCCACATGTCCAAAAGTCACGATTCACTGCACCTGTCCAGAGCACCTCGAAGATCACGACCATGCATCCAAAGTACTGCACCTGCCACGAAATCTGCATTTCGATGTACAACCGCTCCGATCCCTTGCACCTTTCACGAAAAGTCGACTTTGGACCACCAAAACACGAGGTTAGCCTTGCACCTGCCACGCAAAGTGACCACCGTGTGCGAAAATGCGCACGGCGCCACAACGTGAGCGCAGTCGCGACAAGCACTCGCCGCCGCCACCCAGATTTCGCGAGCCTGCGCAGTCGAAATGCATGTCGACGACTTCGAGAGGCACGAATGTATGCTGTAAATAGCAGCGAACCACAGCGATCTAAGCACAGCTGCTTAACCACTACCGTAAGAACCCCTAAGTGTGTCCACACCGTTTGGGGAACTATGTCACAAAATTTACTGTAAATGTTGCTGTTATATTTTTTCATGTTTATTTATTATATTGTATATATACCTGTTATAGTATAATCTATATTTTAGCAGGGACACCGCGAGGAACCACCTTGTGAAAACCACTCGGAAATCATTCCGGCAACTGTTTGCCAAGGAACTTTTTCACCAAATGCTGTTATTTCAGCGCACTGGCTAAACCTAGCATGCAAGCTTTGCACCCTAGCTCTCCCCTCATACTAAACACTGCAAGACCCCAACGTGAGACATACGGATTCCGGAAAAACAAGATGGACAAACACAGCCAACCCACATGAGACAAACCCAGCGTTTCTGAGTGGGCGTTCAATGACTTCACTCCAGGACACGCCTTACTTCGCCCACCTCACTTCGCCTGTCTGTCCTCAAAGATCATGTGAGCATCTGACAAAATTTCCGTATGTGTACGTACAAAGTCACGAGCTGCGGAACAAATAAACATATATATATATATATGTATTTTTGAGTTGATCAAAACCTTGCAAAACCGATAGTACCGCCGATACCCTTTCTTGATTGAAAGTAATATACATTGTTACCATTGTGTGCGTTCCAAACAACAACTGCAGTTTTTGCCAGATGTGAGTTGCTTTCCAGGAATTTTGCTGCTCAAACTATAAGCGTGGCTGCAAGGATTCCAAGGACCCGGACCGTCCTCACGCGCCGGACCTCCGGGCGTTTCGCTGAAGCGCAGGGTTTTTTGAATGCCCGACCCGAGACGAGCATTCGGCATGCCTGCAGGGCCCTCAGGGTGGGTAAGACGGACGAGTCTGAGAAGTGTTGCTATACAGACTAGAGAGAGTCCTTGAAAGCTGAAATTTGTCATCCACCATCAAAACATACTTGGTTTAGCTGGTGGCTGATGGATCTGGTGTCATGCATGTCCGTGCTGCTTGCCAAGAATTATTATGCTGATTTAGTATAATTATATACTATATTCAGTTTTACAATGTAATACACAAGTGACCACAAGTGTTTAATTGTGTGTTGCTTGCTTTCCTCAATGGCTGCTGGTCATTTGCAGGTCTTCCGTTTTAAAACTGAAACCCAAACCCGTTGCAAATTCGACACCTTGCTGCACTATAGCCTATCTATGCTTCTGTGGTCTGACTGGCGGAGTCCATCCGAAAATCGAAGGATTGGCTGTTTTGTTCGTCGTGCGTGCATGCAAGGAGGAGCCGGAGGAGCCGGCTGCTCCATTACATCCAGCTCCTCATGTGGTGATCCAAACCAATCTCTTCAACTGTCAGGCGCGCGCGGCGCGCTCGCAGGGCGCGAGCGGCTTGGCCCAGGATCGAAGATGAATTTACTTTGGAAGTTGTTAGCACTGCGGTCCGCGGTGAGTGTTTTTTTCTAGTTTTTTGACTCAGACCCCCCAGAGCAGAAGTGACTTTATATCCTCTGAACATGTTTGGACCAATCCCCACCTAACCACCACATGTGATGTGGCCGAAGAGTTTTGCAGGCGGTATCCACTAACACTCCCACACATGGCATCGCCCCTTTACTTTACGACATAGACATAAGTACCATGCTCTTACACCCTCAAAGGTGGCTTTGGGAACATGTTCCGGTGGTTTTCAGGGGCCTTTGTGTGAGATTGGGACTTCCAGATATTGGTCCTTGAGGAACCTGGTTGCGGGTGACTCATGTAGCTTTGAGTCCGCTTGTAAGCAGGATGATCTGGTGAATTGGCACAGTGCGGAAGCTGAGTGTCTCACCCGGACCCAGTGAACGCCATGGAGAAATCTAAAAAAACAACATAAGATAACATTAAAAACATCACCAATGTGATTTTGTTTTCATTAGGGGTCCTCTTGATCCTATGGTTTCAATCTAGTCTGAAACCATATTGAGACCAATTTGACAACACACATTTGTGTATGTGTATATATATATGTATATATACATATGACGATGAACCTTGACATTGAAAGGTTCACGTGTCCGTCGCACTTGGTTGGTTCTTACCTGAAACTACTTGACAAAAGAAAAGCTGGCGGTGGGCCGGTGGGCTCATCCGGCCAAATGTCTTTCTTGGGCAAGGACTATTCATCTACCAAAAACAATCAACTAGAAGGTAAAGTGAGGGGCGTGGAGTCGTGGAGGCCATTGCTCTTAGGTTGAAGGCCATTGCTCTTAGGTTGGAGGCCATCGCTATTAGGTTGGAGTCGTGTTTGCTTCAAGTTGGTCCCTCCCCCAACCTTCCGGAACTGAAGGCGTCGAGTGTTTGCAGACTTCATATGGGGGGAGTTATTAATCGGCGTCGAGTCTACATTAGTTTGGGGCTTCCATTGGCGCCTCACCGAGGCTGGGCAGCTCACAAGAAGTCCTGGTGTTGCCAGCACCAGGACATCGCTTGTGCCGAGCACGTCGGGAAAGCCCGGCTTTGACGGCCAAAACCAGGGTCGTTTCAGAAGCATCAATGACTACTCGATGACACAACAGAAAGAACTGAGAAACCAAGAGACATCGTGCTGCAGGGTTTCACTTCTCATCCAAACGTGTTTTCACATTGGGGAACACCGGCATATTGAAGGTCTTTGCTATTGGGATGGTGGGGTACAGACTTGCTTTCTTGGATGCTCGCTGGTAGAAGGTTCACATAGGAACAATGCCCAGTATATGGGGAGAGTCAAGAGGGATTAACCATATGACTATATATATATATGTTCAATCTGTTTGCAGGTATTTGGGAGGACAAGAAAGCTTGGTCAAGGTACTTCTTCAGAGTATTCACCAGCTTTAGGTAGCTCCAGAATTCGGGATCCACCAAGTTACTTGGTTCTAATGTGTTTTATATAATATATTCATCTGACTCCCAAGTTCGACTCTTTCAGGTTGAAGGCATATTTGACCCTGGTGAAAACACACTAGCTGGATCTAGCTGGGTATACCATGGTATACCTCCCATCGGATATCGATTCTTTGAAGATCTTTGTTTGGGTACTCTAGCTGCAGCTGATGTCCTTTGGGAGCGACGGCTGGGAGCGACCACGAGAGTTCCCGAAAGCAGAGCCGTACGGGTCTCTACCCACCGGGTCCGATGAGGTACTCGGTACGGGTCTTCAGTTGACTCTGAAGGTCAAACGGGCCAAACGAGTTGGAAACCCAACTGGTGCTGTACCGCTTTCAAGGTTGAGGAGTATCAGCAAGTGTTGCACTGTGGGATTTGACTAGATATCTCATCACATGGTTCTGATTTTTTGTGCCCCCCCTGTCTATAGTTTGTGATGGTTATACCTATACCTATTTTATATAGGGTTTATATATGCGTAATATACAGTCCGTCTATTTCAAGCATATTGACCCAGGATTTGGCCGTTGCCCTAAGACTACCTCCTCCCTGCCCTCCATAAGCTAGCAGTGTTAGCTATCGCGCCAACGCATGCTCAGGGCCAATACGATTGCGATGTGGCGGGGCCCAGCGCTGCACTGTGTGTGTGTGTGTGTTTGATAGACCCTGGGGGACCTGCACAGCTTCTGAGAAGGTCGTTGGGCCCTTCAAACCCACAAATCGCACCGCATCAGTTTTTGTCAAAGGTGATGGTCAACCGGCCACCCCATGTTTGCAGCTAAAGAGGAACGGTGCCAGGGTCACGGAGTGCTTGCTCTTGGCCATATTTGTATAAAGCAACATCGATGTGCTTCAAGATCTTATCGGCCTGGACCTGGTCTTACCATCTGTCTTACCTACTTACCATCTACTTAACTGATTGTTGGTTTTGAAAGTGGGTGTGTTTTGCAAAACTCCTATACCGGACTCCCCAACCGATATCGCTGGGTAGCCAGAGGTTCCATAAGCTGCATAATGGTATCATGCTGTTATGAGCCATTGGCACAGAACAAAAGTTTGAGAAGATGAAGAAGGTCGATGTTCTACCTACGCCTCCCAAAAGAGCCTGTCAGCTCGTGCTCAGGCTGGTCAAGAAAAGAGCTGGAAATCAGAAAAGAAGGTGACAAAGATGCAAAAGTCGATGTTGTTTTTAGAGGTTCCAAGTTTGGGGTCTTGGCGAAGGTCAGGATTGCCCCAAATTCCATGCACCAAATCCATCGGGGTCTCAAAGTCTCCCGACATGCCGACATGGCACTGGTTTGCAGATGTTCTTTTCGTTTAGGCCTCAGGCCTCAGTCTTTGTGTCTACACCGTTGACGGCCCAATATCACGGTGACGGCCCCGTGGCGACTCGGAGACGGCCAATTCCAAGACCAAAGAGGTTGTGATCTCCACGTTGCAGGAGGGCACGTTCATGGAGGGCTTTTCTTTCGTCCTGTTCTGCGAACCGACGTCGTGACGTAGCGAACCGTCGATTTCGTACAAAGACATAGTCGATGCATGCCATATCACAGGGTATGTGGATCACTCGGGTTCATCGACTCTGTGGCATATACTCTTACGCGCATGCTAAGGTCTACCTTTTGACTGACCAAAACAATATTCAACTGATATTTCCACTGAAGGGCAGAGCGCCCATGTGGAATCTCAGCATCGTCATCGGCTGCAGATTCAGTGACAAACTGAATATCGGAATCATTTGTCCGTACTGTTGCTGTTCCACCTAATTGCATGTCGAATTCGGTAGAAATAAGCTTCTGGAAAACCAGGCCGAGCCAGATTTGTGCAGCACAGGTCTTTTATCTCTTGTCAGCAATATCCTTCTTTGTGGTGGTCGAAAACCAACTGCAGGTGCCCATTAGTCACTGGGGTCCTGTCAGTCCCAATGATTTTGATGTCCAGTACTGTTCTGAAAACCTGTTGAGTACTTGTAGATGGCACTGCCTCCATTGCCCTCACAAGCATCTCAATGGGGGGTTCAGCAAAGACCGCCTCTTGGGCCTCGTGCCATCCACTCTCAAATTAACAAACGAAGGTGATCATCATGTCAGTTTGGCACAAACAAAGAGGACCTATTTGCTATTAACCATGAGGGGAAACAATCTCAAGAGGCGAAGGGTGAAGGGGCTTCGGAAGAACCATTATCACAACCACCGGATAAGACAACCATTCTCTCTGAGTTTTGGTAGGAAGTGAGATTTGGGGCCAAAGTTCGATTTCTTGAACCTCAAGCATCCAGTGTTCTCCGGAAAGATATATCTGATGCATTGAAGACGGGGTGTCCTAAGATGTCCCAAGTGATCAGCTTCTTAGAATGGACATGTATAAATGGACCAAGTGTCGGCTCCTTTGCCAACCGACTGCACCTGAACACCGACTGCACTATACGAACAAACAATAACCTGACGTTGTCGCGCTCAAACCTGGTTTTCGCTGGTGACACCGACACCCATATATAGTCAGTTTTTGAGGTGCCCCTCATATGCTTTTGCATGGTACCTTCGAAGTACTGTACCTTCGAAGTCCTCAGAGAACATGGTAATAAGGAGACCCCATGGCCCAATGGGTAGACTTGTCTATTTTCCTTCTTCAAGGGGATCCATGTGGGTTCTCCCTGTGAAAAATTACACACCATGTTGTGTAAGCTGCAGTGCCCGAACGTGATGCTGATGTTGACCTGTCAAATGAAGATCGACATGAAGCAGTTAATATTAAGTGTCCCTAAAAATCTAGGAACCAAATAAATAGAAGTGTGAGCTATCCTGCGTCCATAGTAGTAGCTTAAGTAAGGTAGCTACCTAACTTCTACTAGCTACCTCTTCTACTACCTCCCTCTAGCGGCCTACCTCCCCACCACCCCCAAAAAAGTCTGAGGACTACTGCTGTTTGTACCAGAAGAAGGGCTGCGAATTTGATGCTGGGCTCTCAGTGTTGCGTCGCACCGACGCACCGACCGGAGAGAGTCCGATGGCCGCGCCCGTTGGGCCAAGCGCTCTCTCGCGCTCTCGTGATGGCCGACGCACCGGTGGCACGGGGGATCTGAACAGCCGAAGTGACACCGAAACCAATTGGCTTTCATGACAGATGGAGGGGCCTCTGACAGAAGGAATGAGGAGTTGTGTTTGCAAGTGGCTGGCAGGGTGGCAGGGCCATGTAGGACCTTGCATGCATGCTGTGTTACAGATCACAAGTTTGCACATGGCATTGAATCCATTGTGATGTTCACGAAACTTCATCACATGCTCTGTCAAATCCAAGGAGGATGATGCGGAGGTTGAAGAAGGAGATACTTCCGAAAGCTATGATTCAGTTGCAGCATCTCATTTGCACATCCCTGCTGCACATGTGGCAACCGTGAGCCACACCTTCCCCACCTTCAATTCCATCAGCAGTGGACACGTGGCAAGCGTGAGCAACATCATCCCACCTGGTGCTATCACAAGTGGTGAGGTGCCAAGCAGCAATATCATCCCCAGTGGCTTCACCAGTGGTGGACATATTACAACTGTCAGCAACAGCATCCCTACCGCAGATGCCTTCAGCGGCGGACATGTAACAACTGTGAGCCACAGTATCCCAACCGCAGACACCATCAGCAGTGGACATGTTACAAGTGTGAGCCACAGCATCCCTGCCGCAGATGCCTTCAGCGGCGGACATGTAACAACTGTGAGCCACGGTATCCCAACCGCAGACACCATCAGCAGTGGACATGTAACAACTGTGAGCCACAGCATCCCTACCGCAGATGCCTTCAGCGGCGGACATGTAACAACTGTGAGCCACAGCATCCCAACCGCTGACGCCATCAGCAGTGGACATGTAACAACTGTGAGCCACAGTGGTGCACATGTAACAACTGTGAGCCACAGTATCCCTACCGCAGACACCATCAGCGGTGGACATGTAACAACTGTGAGCCACAGCATCCCTGCAAGCAGTGTGACAATTCACAGTGTCGGCACCAAGGTCCATTCGGTGACCAGCCACATTCCAGACCATGTCGTTCACTCATCGATGGAGGTCCACTAATCTGGATGTCCATGTAGGTCGATTGCAGTTCTTCAGCCTGGGAACTAAGCTGGGGAGCGGTCGGGCATGATTTCCGGGAAGGGTTTGAGCAGCAGACCGTGGGCCACTGTGCCGCTGAGCAATTGAGAATCTGACGATTATACAAATTTTCTTAATAGCGGGGACTGAAGGACCGGATAAGAAAGAAACCTCAGAAGAGAAGCCAGCTTGCCCAAGAAGAAGTGAAGCTTGTCGAACTTTGAGCAAAAGAAAGGTTGCCAGTCCATTTTGCCAGAGTGAGGTGTGTGAGGACGGGTGAGTGAGTTGAAGCTTGATGTGTGTTTGGCCTGAGAATAGAACATATGCTTCCCCCCGGTATTCTGTCCCAGTTGTGTTGCCCTTTCGCACTGTTTTTGTTCAATACTCAGTTTATTAGAGTTCATAAAAGTGAAGGGTGTGTGATTGGGGTGTACAAAATCATCGTCATCACTGTCATTCTTGGTCTCCCCATGTATTCGCAGCTTCAAGATTAGATGCGTGATCACGATTGGAGAGAAAGCAAGAGAAAGAGGACCACAAGTTTAACTCAGATCCGCCCGCTCGCATTGAGTCACTCTCCCAACCTCTTGGGCCTTGGGCGTTACGGAACAACCAAACGAATCAGGTGTGTCTCATGAGAGGCACCGGTGTGTTCAACGGTGCTAAACCACGATCCCCACGTCCTACCGAGTGGCTTTCCATTGAGACTCTTTTTTTAACAAGGGGTCCATCATCCCAAGCGTGTGAACGTGGATGAAACTCACTTGACCTGTGTAATGAAGGGTGTTGTTGCTTTGATTTGGGCACTCTGGTTTGAAGGATTCATAGGTTACAGGCATTTAGCCATCGACAATAATTCTGTGAGATCATCGAAGCAGAAACCTAATGAGGTTCTTCATTGTTCCTCTATGATTGACTCTTGATGATAAATAACAACCCCCGCTCTCAGACACCAAGAAGCCTGTCAAACCTCTTCAGGCCTGGAGGGGTGACATATTCATCAAGAATCGACCAGAAGTTTCGTCGAGAATTACAAGCCCGAGAAAGGTAGGTAGCAGGCTGAATTCTCCATAGATACAGTCCATGGGTTCTTGCCTGCAAGGCAGTGGAAGAGCGGGCAGAATTCCGGCGCGATTTGCAGTCTCCACTATGGACTGCTGAGATTGTAAATCTTGAGTAGCTTTGCAAAGTGATGTTGAAACTTGGATTCTTTATTATACAATATACAGTTCTCATTATTGCCGACCAAATAATGGTGTGTTTCGTGGTGCTCGCAATTCATAATTCGCTCCAGTGACTCTCGTATGTGACAGCCTCAGCCTTGCTCACATGAACCCAAAGAAGATCTCAATGGTGGACCCCTCATACAAAGTGTACAAGAAGTTCCTGCAGATGTAGTAGGCACATGAGACGGTTGCCGACTGCGAATTTCTGCATGAGTCTGTCGCAATGGAGTGCCAACACGACACTCCAAAAGAGTCTTCAGTTTCACCAAGCGTGTGCGGCACTGTGCCAGTGAAACCCAGTTGCCGATGAAGTTGTCTCTACAGTTTTTGCGCGAGAAGTTGACCATTTGACCATCCATAGAGCATCAATCCATGCGCCAGGGCGACAGGGTCTTTTCACATCGAATTGATTGGCCATGACCCACAGCCCGCTATACTGAAATCAGTGGCGGCTTTGTTCGACACAATTCGTCAGCTGCAACTCGTCGGGAGCCCAAGAGCCTTCGTTTGTTTTCCACATCAAATACTCCATGTATATAACTTTATAACAGTTTATGTCTGGATCATTCTGGTGGTTTCAGAGGTCCAGTCCATGTAGGCATATATATTTCATAATTATTTCCTGCGTGGAGTGTTTGCGTTCGGTCCGCTTGTGGAAGGGGATGAAGCACAGAGGCCCTTTTTGACAGAGACCCAGTCCTACAACCGAGTCGCCCTGGTCGTTTGGAGCAGAAGATTTGTCCGAGAACGATTCCAACCATTGATTTAATCATTCTTTAATTCTGAACAACCCTTGCTTTACAAACGATTTTTGCACGGCATGTCAGCATGTCAACGATTTTTCAACATGGCCTTGGAAGGCCAGGGGCATGCAAACATCGGGTGGCCACGTCAACTGATCCATTTTAATAGGAAGTCTTCTCTTGAGTTCAGCTCTAAACATTGATACCCATGAACTAGATTCTCCGCGTGAAACCGATGAACGAGAGATTTCATCCGCCCAATCGGTCTCCAATCCTCTGTGAACTGCGCCGCCAAAACATGCGCCGTGCTCGTGTTTGTTCTCCTCTCGTCGCTGTTCCGAACGAGACATCTCTTCATCCATGTCCTCCAAAAGTTATGATATAGCCTTCAAAGATCATTAAAACACGGTTGACCTTGTAATGTAGTCCAAAATCATCATGACAATATAACGCAATGGCGACTCGGCGGCTACTGGTAAGAAGAATAATTATATAAATTGTGTTTGGAATCCTAGAGCGTGTGGACTCGTAAGGATTGTTTTTTCTCCGACCAATTGGGGTGGATGACAGTTTTGATCTTGGTCTCCACTGCAGGAGTGTTTGGGAAATGTGAAACTGGATTGTGGGACAGGACATGAGACTCTGCCTTGTCCAGGGGAATCAATCGTTTCGCTTGCTTCTACCACAAAAACACTCTACAGCTGGCAATATCTATATAGAGGTTTCATATTCATAGAACAAACACGTTGACCTTTCGGCACACTGGTTCCCTGCTACCGCGGCAACTTGGATTCCATCCAGGCTTTTCACTTCGGTCTGTGGTTCCACTTTCCCAACAGCCTGAATTCGAACCTCCTCAGGTGGCGAAGTACTGAGTTGTGGCTATGCGGTCGGGCGCCGCACCCCAGTTCGGAGTCGAAAGCGAGCAAAAAGAGATGCGAGTCCGATGGAGTGGGACGGGAATCCAGTCTATAGCAAGACATTCAAGCAGAGGTCCTCCTTTTTGCTGGTATATCTTCATTCTCCACCAATCCACCTGAAAGGGAAAAGCTGAAGAAGCAGGGGTTAGCTTTCCTGTGAGAACATGTGATACCAGCTATTATTCTTCTCCGCCAACCTTGGAGCCAAGCAGTTTGGATCATGTGAGACGAAGAACGTGCATAATTACACTATAATATATTATAGTCCAATGTCTTAAATTTAGTTTTATATATATATATATTATATTGTTGTAGATCTAAAGGTCCTAATAGGTAGCGTTGTTGACGATGACCTTGGAACATGTCAAAACCTCATTTGGCGAAAGTTGTTTCTCGAGTTCGCGATTTTATTTGGCGAAAGATATGGCTAAAGATGTTCTTTCTTCTGCCGTTGCTACTACTACTACTACTACTACTACTACTACTACTACTACTACTCCTACTCCTACTCCTAATCTTGCTGCTGCTACTACTGCTGCTGCTACTACTACTACTACCACTCCTGCTGCTGCT